TCCTTTTAACTGGCCTATTTCTAATCCTGCTGATTGGTCTTCTAAACTTTTGGTGTGAAACATTTGGAATTAGTTTCGAGAGATTCCTTTTGGTAACAACCAGAAAACTATAGGATCTCAAATACTTATTGTTTTCTAATAATCATGCAGTGGTTATATGGGGGATCATCATTCAAGAAGAATAATGAAATGGGAAGCCACTGTCACTTCTGGGCTGCAGAGACAAAGGAAGGAGGTGATAAGATTGGAGCTCAGTGTGGAGGGCCCTCTGGTCTTCTGTGTCCAACCATTATTTCCTTAATTGTCTGAAGACAGGCTGTAGCTCAAATCCTGCAAGTGCAGCTCATGGGCATAAGAAACCCTTGTGACAGAGGAACCATGAAGGAATGAATCAGAAAGTATTCCAGCCCAGGACTGGCAAATCTTCATCTATGTTAGTCACTTAACTCACATAGTCAATAGAGTTTCCATTAGTAAATTATGTTAAATTTATAAAATTAAAGGAACATGTAAAAGGCTCCTGATTTCTAATTCAGTGTTTTCTGTCTCTGTCCCCTCCCTAATATCCTCCCTGGAATGTCTCTATGACTTTCCAGAGCATCCTCCAGGAGAATATGACAAAATATTCAGAAGTATTCACTGATGAAATTTCTCTGATAATAACCTAACAAGAAAAAATACACATCTTATTTGATTAACATATTTAAAATGTTAGGACACAATAATAATTTTTAGGGTGAGTAGTTAATTATGCATATTTAAACCTTAAAGAGGGCAAACATGGGTTACTTTTCAAATTCTTAATTTCAGGATCACTAAATTCAATATTTACCAGATTAAATGGACTTCTCTCAATTCGAATATACTGTGTATAATTAAGCATCCAAAGTAGCCCATTGCTGATAATATTCATGAGGATAGGAAAACAGTGCAGCCTCTTGGTATTACACACGATTGAAAATCTATAATCCTTAAAATAAACAAAAACAACATCAATAAGTTTAATTCTAAGTCCTAGAAGAACAAAGGTACAGTTTTTATATATAAGAAGCTGAAGTGCCACATATTCCAGCAATGTGTCCATCTTCAAGGTTAACAGACTTTCCTGAGCAAAAGTTTCCTCATCTGTGAAAGAGGATACTAAATAGGTCATTACATGATTAATGAGATTATATATAAAAGGCCCTAGCACAGTGGATAGTACAGAGTCAGCATCCATTTGATGCAAATTTTTATTGGTTTTGCTAAATGCCTATGATTTTGTTCCCATTGTGTTTTTGTGAGGAGGTTTCAACTTTTGTTGTCTAGGCAGTTCATGATGAGCAAGAATAGGAATTTTATCTCGGTAGGAGATACACATAGAGTTGATAAAACATTCATGTTTACACTGCCAGTGAAGTATTTCCACCCTTTCTAAGACAAGGTTAATGTACTTCATGTTGATGAAAATGCTCATGTGCTCATCAAGAGGTTCAAGTTGTTTAAACATTTGCAGTAAGTATTTAAGATAAAGCAGCTGTCAAAGTTGTTTCCTAAAGTTGGCAGAGTGACTGCATTTTTCATAATCCATTTAGTTTAGGTAGAGTTCGATGATACATTTTCAAAATATTTTGTTTTTATTTCCTTTATAGCAAGAAACAAAAAGATAACTATATTTATTTTGGCACCTCGCTTTTACTAAAGTAAGAGGCAAGAGTTCCACTTATGATTAGGATAGATTTTCATCTGGTTCCTTGATTTCTATGGCTCATTCACTTTTTCCTAAATTGAAACACATTAAGATAGCATATAAGGAATACTTTTCTCTCCAAGAGTCTGTGTGGATATTATAATATTTTTAGTATACTACAGTATAGTATATGTTTAGTATAGTATGTTTTATCAACATATCATACAGATAGCTAGGTATTAAATGGATTTCCTAAATTCATAATTATATGATAATTTTAACATGTAATAGTTCATTGAGTTTGATCAATATGACTAAATTTAGTTTCTTTCAAATATAAAAAAATTACATACTTTAAGAGGAGAAAAATGTTTCAAAAACACCCATTTTAACATCACAGTTTATTCAATGTGAACTAAAAATGTTTTTCTGAGTCAAAGCTACTATATACTAACTGGGTTGATTTTCTGCAGTTTTTAAGAGTTAAAATATAGCACTTTCTGTGCATTTGTGTGCAGTCATAAAAGCAAAACTCAAGAGACAAACGTACCTTTTGTTTACCAGAAACTATGATAGCACCATTGTATGAGAGGCCTTCAGTGCCATTTCTGTTTTCAAAGTCATCTACTTCCAAAAGTATATTTTGATGCTTCAAAGACTGTATAAAATCTTCAATATTTGATTCTATAAGGATATCAATAACAAAAGGCCATATAAAGGTGAGTAAATAGATTACAAATGTTTTCCTAGTGAACCCTGTACATAAAGTTGATACTTACAGCACACTGTCTCTATAGATATCACAATAATACTGGGCTACGAAAAATAAATCATTCACTACCATTTTCTATTTAACAAATATTATGCTATGATGAATTAGCTTTTTAATTCCCTTTAGTGCAAATTGATGTGTGATCATCAAAATAAAGTAGTTCTATTTCATGACTTTTATTTTAAAAAATACATTTGAACTGGTGATTTGTGGAGATACAGTTATTATAGGAGTACGTTAGATTGTTCAGCCTGATGATAATACTCTCCTCTCACCTATATTCTTTGAAGTAATAGAAAGTAAACATATAAATGTACATGTATAATACAGAAATATTCTTATTTTATTTAATATATTTACATATATATTGCACTCCTGTATATGGCATGGATATGTACTTTTTTCTAATTAAATGGAAAATAAGAAGAGGGCCACTATTGGACCAAAAATTTTAATGTGCTCCTAAAGAAGGCAGCAAATGGTATTCTTTAAAAGAGAATAAAAGAGCTGAGGAAATGCACAGCCTGGAGCACACAGAAGCAAATAGCTGCCAAGGTAAAATCAGCTTCCAGGATATCAAAGCTCAGAGGAAATGAGTAGAAGGGGACAGTGTGGGCATGGAAGCCACAGTCAGGGTCCTTAACCAGTTTGCCACACCTGGAGCAAGGTGACCAGTCAGGCCCCTCCTCATGACTCACAGAGCAGGCAATATTGCATCTGTCTCAGGGAAGAGTGCTATTTTTACCTTCTAAGAGACAGTATTTCTTACAGAGTCAGGCAAGACTTGAAGTAATTCCAACCCACAATCAGGGAAAGATGGAGTGGAAAAAAAGGAAAAGAAGCTTGTTTGCTGTATTTTAGCTTGAAATCGGAGTCCATACTGGAATGCATGGAGGAGGCTCTGGGAATGGACAAATAGGGTCAAACTTCAGGCAAATTCAAAATTCCCCACATAGGAAGGACATATCCATGGAAAACAAGCTTTCCTTGTATCCTGGGACAGCCATACATGCCTCTCCATCTTCACAGCAGGATCCAACCAAACGGGGACCACAGGAAAACATGAACATGCTACCAATAATCACCAGATTTTAAGGAAAGAGGAACACAATGGCACAGAAGTCCCAAACTTAAAGCCCCACTAACACTGTCTTCAGAGTGACTGGAGAGGAAAAAGATCCTGAGTCAACACTACACTCATAAGTTAAAAAAAAAATCTAGATCTTAGAAATTAATGTACAATTAGTAAAATTCATTTTAAGGCAGAGAGGAAATTTATTTTCCAAAACCCAAGTGGAAAATAAGAACAATGAGAAACAGAAATGAAAAGACCATATTTATTTAGAGAGGAAATATCTACAACCCTGAATCATAAATACATGTGAAACTGGACTGGGTAAGGAACTCATCAAGAAAGAACTCTGACTCTATATTTATTTTTAACATCTTAAGTAGAAGCATATAAACTTCCCCTTTAAGTTAATCAAACACATAGGAAACAATCAATTACCCAGTCTTTGCCATAATAAAATAAGTAGTCTTCCTGAATCCTATTTAAATTAGTAGTAGATTGTGGGGTGTAGTAGACAGGCCATCTTTGCATGTCAATCAGCATGTATCATATTTGTGGTATAAGTTAGGCTGCTGTAAAGAAATCTGAAAATGAAGTGGTTCCACCAACATAAAAGTTTATTTCTCTCTAATTCCTAGCTTCAGGTTATCATCTAGATAAGTTACTTCTATCAGATTGAATAGTAACCCAGGTACATTCACACTTGTCTCTATCATTCTGTGATCTCTAAAATCAGAGCAAATATTCACTGTTTTTCATAAACTATTTCCTATAAATGTATATTTTCTTCTCCTATGATTTGTTTCCTCTAATACATATGGTATTTGATAACAAAAATAACTTCTTTCTGGATGTAAATTTTGTTTTCTTGTTCACCTGTGTTATTGATGATCAAGAGGCTGGTACGAGGTTCCTGAGGAAGTTGTCCAGAAGAGAGGAAATATAATTCCGTTTTAAACTCCCAGTTTGCACTTTCATTTATCAGAGAATTTGCTACCCTTTCCATAATCAAAGGAAACAGTGCAATTCCAAAAACCAATAGCCTAAACAATAAAGAAAATCACCATATGAATCTATAGCAATTTTATTTCCTCAATAAAACATTCCACAACCACTTATGTGCCATATCTATAAGGATAATTCCTCCCAGGTACAAACATTCTGAGCCTTGTCTCATCGTGTTACCCAGGTCTAAAATGTCAATGCTGCATGAACAGTGGGTCATCCAACTATGAAAACTAAATGCACTTATATGTATGAACCTGATCAAGAGCTAATCTACAGGTATTCCTGCAGTCAGTAAAATCCAATAAGACATTTACCTTTTCTCCAGCAGAAATGCTGGGCATTATGTTCTAGTTTTAAAATCTCCTCTGGTTTGAGCCTTTTTTGAAACTCCTCGTTTAACAAAGTCACAACACTCTGATACTCACAGGGTCAAAAGTGTTTTTCTTCCACGTTTCAGATTTAAAAAACGGAGCCGTGCTATCGCACAGACTTGCATTCTCCAGAGGCTCATGTCGCTCACAGACTTGTGTACTTCAGGGAGAGAAGAGCAAGCTGGATCCATTTCACTTGGGCTTTCTGAGTCTCTTATCTTGTCTGTTTGTTCAAAATCTACAGGCGCGCGCGCGCGCACATACACACACATACACACACACACACACACACACATTATTAATGCCATCTTGGGGCATCATAGTAATTTTCTTCTTTAAAATATTTAAAATTATTTTACTTTTGGTTTCCTTGTTATTGTCTTATTGAAAATAATTATTCAATACAATTATTTACACAAGTTTAAATATATTAAATTTATATATCCCCAATCTTCAATAGTTTCTTTCTGCAGTTATAATTACCAATGGCTATGCATATTAAAACTTTTAAAATAAAAAATATTTTGGAATGTTGTGGGTACAATGCAAACAATATGAGAAACATACAATAATATCCAAATTCTATGACCTCAGTGGGAAAACAAACTAACTACATACCAAAAGAAGAACTCAGGAAAGGGGTGATTCTGGTATATATAGTTTTTGAAAAGCCAATCTCAAAGGTAACAATATTTGAGAACTTAAAAAAAAACTTCTCAATAGTAATAGCAAACATTAAAGCCTCAATATTTGCTAGAAAGTTATCAATAATCTAGGATTTTAGGGGGACAGCATCAGATCTGAAACAACCAAACTTTTATATAAATCCCATAGACATGCTTTACAAGTATCATGAATTGGAAAAGTCATTTAACTGTTCTTAGTTCTATTTTCCCATCTGTAAGATGGTGTCAATGACAGTTGGTGGGAAGTAATACTGCATGTATATATGAATGTATATCTACACTTTTATTGAGCTATCTGGCATAGAAGGAGCACCCAGAATGAAAGCTCTTATTGTCAATTAAATATTCAGGAGTTGAAACTGAGAATTCTCCTTATTTAGACTTTACTGAAATTAAATTTGCATTAACATTAATAAACTAAGAACATCTTTTATCACAAATATCTTCTTTGACTTCACTCCTCTAATTAAGATCTTTCACAACCTCAAAGCATTAAAGCAGTAGTGAGCCCATGAGGATGGGGGAAAACAACCCAACCCAAAGTTGATGGATTTCAAAAGAGATTTGGTAAAAGCCAAGAAGGGCTCTGTATTGAGTCCTACTGACGATGTGGGTCAACAAGCATCCCATCTCAATAGCAGAGACAAATTTGGAAAAACTCATAGTCCTTAATATGAATTATGCAAAAGATAGTATAAATATTAAATTGACACATGATCATTTGGAAATTGATTTCTGTGAAATATGCAAACGATCTGACCTTGTCTGATCTCTGGTTTTCGTTCCAGGTTCATGAAGACCTCATTCAGAGTTGACATGGAGATGTCATAACTCATCATACCCTGGCCAGAACACTTATCAATATCACTGAAAAGGTCTAAAGCAACAGACAAGAAAATATACATTCTTGAAAACATCAGTAGCTAAACCTAGTAAATTAGCACTTATCTGAAATATGTATAATATTGTTCATAAAATGTATGCTTTTAGGTTATTGTCATCATCAAAAGCAAAATTCTATTGAAAGGCTCATAATCTCTGAGTCTGCAGACTTGTTCTTCAAACGGCCTCTCTGTATCTTCAACCCATAGTTTACAAATATCCTGAAGACCTCTTGAAAAAAAATATGAGCAATCAGGAAGACCATTATTTCCTCACCTCACACTATAAATTCAAATATACCTCTTTCTAAATCCTGGGTCTTCCTTCTGTATGAGTGAAAGACTTGCAGCTGTTCCTTCAAAAGGTATCCCTGTTTCCCCTAAGTCCCAAATTTCTTCCAGTCTCAGCATTTCAAAGACTTCCCAAAGTGGTCTTTTCTCTCTCTCTCCTCCATCCTCAATTTATTCAATGTATTCTGGGTCACCCACCAACAATCCAAAATTATATAGTATCCATTGAACAAATACACACAATACCAACAAAACAACATTATTTCCTCCACAGATTTCTCTGCCTTTATTTGTCACTACTAGCTATACTTAATCCCCTCAAATCCCAATGCTATTTATATGCTTCCACAAAAAAATTTTCTTTTTTTAGGTCACCAAAATCTTTGCATTTTCAACTTTAGTGAGCAAGTCTTTATTTTTCTTGTTTCCTTCTAACTCAATCATTCCCTTTTCTTTTCTTTAACTCTGTGGCATTCAAAACAGTTCACCTTTTCTTTTCTTTAACTCTGTGGCATTCAAAACAGTTCAAATCTGGAAACATTTTCCCTCTAGATTATGAACACATTATACTATTTTTCCTTTAGCTTCTTTCAGAACTCTCAATTGACATCCCTCCTAGCTTCTCAAACTCTGCTCCCTTCCAAAGTTTCAGTCCTAGACCACTTTTTCTTTACATACACGCATATCTGGTCCCCAATGCATTATATGCTGAAGACTCCCAAATTTTCAAGTCTCACTTTGTCTTTTATTTCTAATGTCCTTGTGGCAACTATATACTTGACCACTGAGAAGTCAAAAGATATCTGCGGGTTACCATTCCTAAAAGAGAACTTTGATTTTTCCTGCCGCTTTTGGTCAAACTGTTCCAACCATGACTTTCAATAAATGCCACCATTTTCTACCCAGTGATTCAAGCCAAAATTCTAGAAGTCCCACTTAGTTTTTCACACTTTTCTTCACATTTATGTGTGCAAGACACATCAGTCAGGCTTTCCAGCTTTACCAACAAATACCTTTCAAAGACATTCCCATCCTTATCATCTAGCCTATACAATATCATCTTTTATTTCTACCTCCGAAGTGGCCCTGAGGCCAGTTTCCTAGTGTGTACTCTTGTTTCTCTACATCCAGAGATCTTCTTTATCCAGAGAATGAAAACAAAAGTCATATCACATCAACCCCTCATTAATCAATCAACGTCAACACAAAAGCCTCTCTGGCTCATGGAGATGGAGAGCCACTGTCCATCTAACCTCACCACCTTACCCACCCCTACTCACCACTTTCCTCCCTCATCACTGCCCTCTAGACATACGCTTACCCTTTACTTGAAGAACAACTGACCATTTCCTTCTTGTGGCCTTTCTGTGACCACTCTACATAAACTCCAATTATACAACAGACACCACTCTAACTCATGTAGCTTTATTATTTTATCATACAACTATTATACTATTTATTTTCCCACTTTCATTACCCAGTTGAATGTAAGCTCCATGAGGGTAGGGATTCATTTAATCTGTATTTTTAGTGCCTGAAGTAGTTTCTTTCAGATAATTAATTTACAATAAGCATTTGTTTACTATGTATCTCTTTCCTAGGGGTACTTGGATGAAACTGTGAATTTCATAGAGAAGGCTCCCTCATTCTACCTTCTGAATGGGAGGGTAATGGGCCACCATCCTTACTGAAAGGAAATAGATGGACAAGGCTCTAACAAGCACTGTGATTTCCTATGGTCTACCTGTGGCTTTCAGGGGACCTGGAGTCACATATCCTATAATGGACTTAGGTATGGCATTAGAGTACCAGAGGCCTGGCTTGTGTATAACAAGGTTGCTGTGTGCTGGGACATCAAAAACAGAAACTCTAGCTACATGGCATATTCCAGTAGTGGTACCAGCAAATGCCTCCTTATCCTTTTTCTCTGCCCCCAAATGAAGTTAGGCCAGGTACTTCTTAGGGGGGCTTAGTCCAAGAACACTACAACATAGTTTAGAATATGATCTTCCATGCTACTTCGAGGTTACAGAGACCATATTTGGAAGTGGAGCTAAAATCTAAATTCCTGAGTATTTGTCTAATGAACTAAATAATTGAAAATGGCTTATTTAAATGAGACCTATGGTTAAATATTTAATAAATTAAATGTTTAAACCAAAAGGAAGATGCTTATTAAATCACAAGAGATTAAAATATATTCCTTCATTTATAAGATGGAGAAAATTATATCACCCACCTCCAAGAATCTCTGTCAGTACTTAATGAGTTGATACATATGAACTGGTTAGGACAGTGTCTAACACATAGTACCCATTGTAAGAAGTTAGGATTATTTGTCAGTCAGAACCTAGGTTGGTATTTCCACCCAGCAGGTGGTAACCCATGGTGAACATTTCCTTTTTTTCTCTTTGCTACTGGGGATTGAACCCAGGGGCACTCTACCACTGAGTCTCATTACAGACTTTCTAATTTTATTTTGAGACAAGATCTCACTAAATTGTCATAGGCTGGCCTTGAACTAGCCATCCTCCTTTCTCAGGTTCCTGTCTCTGCCTGGGATTACAGGCATGTGCCACCATGTCTGGCTTGTTGAACACTTCTATAAAATAAATAAGCTATTCTTTTTCCTTGCAAAATAAATACATGTTCAAATCATCCAAAGGATCTTATTAAAATTAAAACACCTGTAGCAGAGACCTTGATACCTCACCTTCACCTGTTCTGCACTCTCCTAGTCTCAGTGAATCAGCTTATTAAACACACTTACCTGTCTTGAGATTCTTTTCTAGCCTTAGAATTATGCTAATGTCATGTTCAAAGCAAGCCAGAGGACCAGACAGTTAATGTACCTGGATCTAACCCTTACCCAACGACAGATAGAGAGTAGTACGTAATTACCCTAACTTCCTTACCCCTATGGTGACTTGACTCTGTGCTCACATACTTAAATCTTTTCTCCCTACCCCTACCCCTGTGATATTGCACTTGAATTGCCTACAATGGGTAAATTGCTTGATAATGCAAAATTCCCTGGCTTCCTTCCTTCCCTCTCTCATGTCTCCACCCTTTGCTGGTCCTTTCAGGGAAAGACCACCAAAAAATTTATTAAACTCAAATTCTTATCTCAAATTATTATTCTCAAATAATCCAGCCCAAGACAAAAATTCAAGTCCATAAATAATGAAAATCGTTATAATAATGTGAACATTGATCCCAAAATTCATTCCATTGTAATCATGTGTAAGTTACCTGGAAATTTACTTGTGCTTTCCAAAGGCAAAGTAAATACAAGTTTTTCTTTGTTTTCTAGTTTTAATTTAGCATCAGAGATATGATGATTAATGAAAGATGTGATTTGTTCTGGATCACTTATCTCATTCTTATACAAACTAATAATCAAAAGAAAAGGAAAAGCATTAGTATTTTTCTATACTGTTTCCACAGAAGAGGTTTGTTAAATTCAAAATTTAGAGTACTACTTTACTTTGCTTTATGAAATAAACAAAATGAGGAAAAAATAATAATCCGTCAGTTTGAAAATCTATAATCTAAATATAAAAGGAATATAAACTAATTACAAAGAAACACATAACTTATTGTGATTAAAACTATATACCTACTATGAAGATAAACAGAGGGAGGTGAAAGTATTAGACAGAAGAGACTCCTTTGGGGAACTTATTACACCTGAAAGTGTAGGTGTCAGAATTTATTGGCTCATAGAGAAATTTGGCCCACATCCATGGTTTGTTTGGCCATAGATTTGGGCTTTTATAATTCTTTTAGCCTAGACATACTGTTTCTAGTTAGACACAGGTCTCACCACTCTCTCACACCATATTTACTCTCTGTTGAAAATGGCTTCCAAAAATATTTGCCATTGAGCCCTATGAAGGGGTGAAAATGTATGATCGGAATGTATAAATCTGCTTAGAAAAATGGAGAGTGGGAGGAAGGTAGAGATTTAGGCTGCACAGAACAGCTACCTATGGTACATGAAGCAGTCCTGATGAGACAAGGCAGCTTTGGCTTGTAATGTTGACATTGTGCCCAGAACTAATGTTAGAAAAGACACAAGGAGGCCGGAAAGTAGGAACATCATTAGAAAATAATTAACAATCTGGTATAACTGTAATGAAGCATGAGAGCAGTTCACACTTGTAGCTGTCCAACTTTGTTATAAACCAGTACTGAAAACATACATATTCAGGCTTTTCCCAAAGTCTTTACCTTAAGTGATATCCAAGACCCCATTTTCTCTTTAAAAAGACAGAAGATCCTGCACACTTCAGCTCCCCATTGGACATGATCACTTTTCTATCTGAGTAAAAAATGCAAGTGAGAAAGGATATGAGGAGTCATATCTTTTCTCTCTAGAAAATATAGATGAGAAATTAAAGCTCAGAATTCCAAAGGAGAAGTGTTGTATGGGACATAAAGAATGAGTTAGGCATCATTATCCTAAGTACATGTATGAAGACAAGAGTAGTGTGAAAATATTTGTATACAATCAGTGACTTGAAAAACTGTGCTCTATATATGTAATATGAAATGATTTACATTCTGCCATCATGTATGACAAATTAAAATATATAAATAATTTTAAAAAACAAATAAATAATTTAATAAAAAATAAAGTAAGTAAGAGACGAATTATAAAAATAAGGATATGCACTATGTATTTTAATATTTAAACACACATTCACATTAACGCATTTTGAACTCATTGACATCAATCTATTTCAGCACCTGCCAATATTTTCTGGGGATAAAATGCTACAAATTATATGGGTATATCCTTTACTTTGGATTCTAAAGGACAAGTGCCTATTTTTTAACCAAATATATATGAAAGAAGATTTGGATGTTTGAATGGACTGTTAGGTAATTTTAAACAAAAATAAAAACCTTCAGATTTTGCAAAGTGGACACATGGCAGTAATGAGAAAAGGGTTTTTACCCTGAGAACAACATTTCTCTTAAATTTCCCCAATTTTTCATTGTTGATACTGCAATAA